TTGTACAAATTTTCTTGAATTTTATCATTTTTTTTAAATATCACAAGAAACTATCCAAACATCTATATAAATAATATTATGATTTTTTTCTATTCTTAATTTAAAAATATATTTAATTTTAATTTTCTTCTTATCAAGTCTTAACTTTGTAGCTATACATAAATTTTCTTATATAAATTTTTTAGAGCTTGTTTTAATTTATAAAATACACAATCAAGCTTATATATCTAAGTTGAATCTATGATTTTTAGAAAATCCTCTAAGGTCTCCATATATACATCTTTTTTATTTTTTAATTTAAAATAGTTTTTATGATGTCCATTTTTTATAATTTTTAGTGATTTTGAATTATTAATACTAAAACAGTTCAAATTCTTGATCATCTTTCTATAGATAAGAAGATATCATCAAAAATTATCCTACTAATTTGTATAAATCCTCCAATAATAAGTCTTACTTTTGATTTAATAATTTTAGCATTTAATCGCTATTTGATCTTAAATATCTACTTTGTATTTATTATATCTATTTATAATTTTCTATCAATAATCATTTAGTTTTTTGGTAATTTTTTTAAATTAAAAGATGAAAATATTTTATTTGTTTATATTTAACATCTATTAGTCATCTTTTAAAATATTAAAAAAATTAAGAAATTCTTCTAGTATCTTTGATTAAAAACAATTGATAATCTTATAGGACTTTGGATAAGCATTAATTTAAAGCTAGGTAGGATTTGTCAACTAATTCATTTTATTTTTTTATAAGTAGTAGTCTCATTGAATTATTTCTATAAAAAAAAAATTTTATTTTTGGTAATAATAGTATATTTTTAAATTATAGAAGAATATGTACTTCACTACAATTTTTTAGATGATTCAATTCTATTTTGAATTTTGAGTTGATGCTCTAAATCTGACTTATATTAAAGTGGTTGTATTTCTAAAAATAGATCTTATATATGTTCTTATCTTCTTTAAGATAGTAATACCTTGTTTTAACTTCTTTGAGATATCAATACATTATCCTTATTACATACTATATATCAAATGATAATAAACTTATACTTTATTAGATCAATAATTTATATATTTTATTTTTAATATTATAGTCCAAAAATAATCATAATTAGATTCTATTATCTATCTTTTTTTCTATTTTCTTTCAAAATATGCACATATGTAAGACAACCAAATATCCTTAGATTACTAATGCTTGATTTATTACATGAATAAATTTCTTTTAGACTTATTATGATGTTAGCATGTGTTGAACTTTAATTCACCTAGTAATTTGCAACTAGAATTGCCTCCAGCCATAAAGATAGCAGTAGCTTGCATTCTTGTAACAATCTTCTTTCTCATTCAATCAAAATCTTGTTTATTCTTTTTGAGATATTGTATTATTGAAATGTGGCAGCTTGAGTTATCACTATCTTTATTCCTTGTTCTGAGCAATAACTTATAAATTTTAATAAGATATACTTTCCTTCTTTATTTGTTTAAAATATTTCATATTATTTCTTGTTGTTGCTTCTATTCACTCTTTAAATTATTAGAATTTTTTGAAGGGTTTGCTTTTACTATCAAAAATAAATATCTAGCTATTTGTAAAACATTATTTGTAAGTACTAAAATATATTATAATCTATCTAAGTAGATCTAATATATGGAACTTATTAAGTCTAAATAAATATTTCTTTATTTTTTTTACTCTATTTATTTATTATTATTATTATTTTTTTTCTATAAGAGGTTTTTTTTATATTATCTTCTTGATAGAAAAAAATTACATGCTTTGTCATATGGATTAATTTTTAGAAGTCTATTAACTTTGTTATACTTTAATAAATGACTCAATCCAAAATAACTAAAGTATGTATAGTACTTGTGTCAAAGTATAGCTTTATCTTTATACTCCACAATTTTTTTTTTCAAATGACTCATCAAAATAATATAATCTACTTGATGGATCTTATATTCTTATTGCAACCATGTATTATTTATAAAATTTGTATAATATTCAACAATAGCAATCTGAGAATATTATTATGTTTCTAAGGTCAAAAATCAATCCTATTAAAATTAAATTATTTCTCATACTTGGTACATTCTTTATATTTATTAATTTAATTTTTTTAGAATTGGTTTTAAAAATGGTTAAACTAGTTCTTTTATAGTATGAGACTTACTCCTTTTAATTTTAGCTTTCTAAATATTGGAAGCTCTTTTGTGATTTTGGTTTAAATTGCTACTTTCATTTGTTATCTAACTTGAAGTACTACTATCTAAATACCAAGGCCCATAATCATGCTTACAACCACTCCAATATTTTGATAGTATTGTATCAAAAAATCTTATAGAGTTTGCATATGTTGACTCAAGTGCATATTAGTTAAATAATTTAATATTTGGATTTTTGCAGTTTCTTCCTAAATATCCAAATTGCTCACAATTGTAACAAATTTGAGGTAGTTTAGTTAGAAAACCTTGTCTTGAAAAGACTATTTAATATCCTCTAAAATAGCCTTATCTTTTATATTTTCAATATTGCCTTTGGTTGTTTCTTTGATGACATTGACAACTTTTGGTTGGAAGTACGATGGTTTGAATGGTACTTTTATAGCTTTGAAAAGGCTATTTTAAATAAATTAAATAAGCAATCTATTAGATACAATCTTTTTTACACTTAATAGCAGATTCTTCAGCTTTTTGGCCTTCTTCAAGTAGTTTTTTTATCTAATCTCCATCAAACAACTAGATAGATTAGAACTGACTCATAACCATAAGTATTTGATTTAAATATCTTACTTAATGCAAAGCTTCAAGTATTATCCATGTTATTGTTGGATCTATATGGACAATTTCTTTGTCAATTAGATCATTATTAATTGCTAAAATCAATGCTTCTTGTGTTGTATCTTTCCACCTTTAAAACCAAAAATTTGTAAATACACCACCTTCATGATTTTATAGAATATCTAGTGGATCAATGATGTTTTCTATCATTTCCCACAATCATGCAATATGTTAAACTGCCCTTGTCTTCAAACTCCACAAATAGTAAAAAATTAATAAGAGTCCCTCCAAGATTTAAACTAGACATATTTAATTTTGCCATAGTTTTCTTTACTTCTCTTAGAAGCAACGTCTCACTAATTTCTAAGCCTTCTTATTTTTAGAAATTGCTAAAACACCAAAATTAGCTTATTTTATAAATTTTTGGAATTTGTACATTTTTGTGAATAAATATATAATATTTGACCACAGACATTAATTTTGATACTTTGATTATTCATAGCTTAGAAAATAGTCCTACAAACTTTAAGGTCTAGCACTGCTTTATGTTCTCTAAGGTACAGATATGCATAAGTAGCCACAATCAATTTGCTTATTGCATGTTCTAATATCATGATTTGTAGCAAATGAGTTGGCATTACATTCTAATGTTTGTAGCTCTTCATGAATTAGTTCTGAATCTAATTAGTTAATGAATTAGTTCTGAATCTAGTTTGCTATTATTATCTAAATTCCAGAAATTTTGAAAAAAGAGAGACGTGAACAAAAGGTAAAAGCAATGAAGACGACCGCGTCTTATTTTCAAGTAAGAGGCCTGCTAATCTCTCTTTCTTCCTTCTCTCTTCAGTCCTATCTGTCAATCTATCAAGGAGCAGCACTCACTTTTCATACTCTATATCATCTGTTGTGAACCTGACACACCAGGCTCTGCTACCATGTTAACTTATACTCAAGAACATGGCAACTGACCTTCTTCAAATCTAACGTCTTTGTACTGCAAGAGAGAATCAATACATATAGTACTGTAGTACAGAATATAATGTATCTGATTATGACCGACCTGTATAAACATTGTCTCAAAAAGCGATTCAACAAACGGACAGAGTTCGTTTCCGTGAGGGTTTCGGTTAACATAGCAACAGGGACGCCCTGTGGGCGTTGCAATGCCCCTGCATTGCTGTCATCCGCTTACACGCTCGGATACATGCTCGAATAAGCTCAAGAAGTGAATTTCTCTGGTCCAGGTCAGATGTGGTTGATTTGTCAAGTACATAAGCTTCGTTTCAGAAAGCTTCCAGCCGGTGTACCAATTAGCTCCAGACCGAAGTACTGAGAGCCACTGCTCCACGTGTAAAATCCAAACCATAACTTTCAAAAGAAGATACTCTTGTAAACCCTGGTTGACACCTTGCTAAGTGCAAGGGCATATCGCAGCAATAACTCTTGACCATCTACAGAGATTGATACTCGTACAATCTTCAAACATACTGTGTCTTCACGATTGTGGGCATTACAACCCTTCATCATTACTTCCGAAGTCTGAACTTCCTTTCAACTTTTGAGTTTCACAACTTCCTGATAAAGCCAACACACAGATAGTGCAGTAGAGAAGTTGGAGACTGAAAGATAAAACCACACTAAAAATAAACAACTTCGGAATAAACACATTCATGGCCGCCTTCGTTTGATAGAATTGTTCCAGAAAGAACAGCAATTCCATACCTAAGGCCATCGAGCTGGAAAGAAAATCCAGAGGAGCTGTAGGTCATGAACCAGAAGATACAGCTACTGCAGCAGTCTTGACAAAGCAAGTCCCAGCATTCGTCATGCTCTAGGTGATAATATACGAACAATTTTTAACTCAACGCCATTACAATGGACTGTAAAGCTCTGTTAATAATGGTTCCTGATCACGTTAACTTCCTGCACATCGTTTTCTAATTCACCGTTGGTTAATAAGTAGAAAACGACACAATTTACAGGACTCAAAAAGGAAGTACAGAGGAGAACTGATTTATTGGAATACTATATCACCCCGCATGTATGAGGATGTACTTTGCCCCCTGGGGCCGCAAATCTCCAGCGTTGTGCAGATAGATTCTAAGCCCATACCTACTCGCTATCCATCCACACCAGCTTCAATCAGATTCCTGGCTTAGTACACAATTCTATCGTTCAAGTGCAACACTCAGAACACGATAATTCTCACTAACAAAAATTTGCCCACCGTTGCAGTTGGAAGCATGCCAACCTACACATTACAATTTAGAATATGTGCAAATCCTGCCTCCCACCGCAGCACGTAATTTACATTGTGAACTAGATGCAGAGTGGAGATGCATGAACCCCGAACCCTAGGCCAATGTTCACTTGATTTACGCCAAAAAGCAATGCAGAAAATAACTATAGTGGACTTTCATAACCTCCCTGAATTTCATTTGCTGAAAACTAGTTTAGATAATAAGATTTAGGAATGTGCTAAGAGTGTCTATAGCGAGAGACTGATAGTAGAGAGAGCATGCTCCGTAGGCGAACCATTACGACGTTTCATTCAGTTCCCTACTTCAAAATAAAGGTGAAAAAGCATTTGAATACAGAGCTGGAGACATGCAAGTGAAAACACTCCTCACACGTCACATATGGCTGAGCTTTTCCACCTGTATTTTGAGTTTAGTACAACATTGATTTGGTTCTCGAAATTCAACTAAAATTTTACTACCAGTCTTCTATTTGCAGACGCTCTGAGCGGTGGGCAGCAAGTTTCATCGATGGCAGCTTACGTTGCACCTGCTTAAAGATCATGTTAACAGCATCGTCCTTCTTAGCTGGGTGTTGGAACTCGAAGTGGTGAGAGACTGCCTTCAACTTCGTCCACATCTGTGTCCATTTTGTTTCATTGATGCCTCTCAAAATGCGGAGCAAGTATTGCGGCCTCACCGCCTCTTCAGACGAGAAGAATAAAGAAAATTCGTTGTAATCTATGTCGTCCTCAAAAGGAAGTTCAATTCTGTCACTGACTATGACAGGAACACAGTGACTAACAATTGCATCAAATAGGCGACAACTTGAAGGCGTATCTCCTGCTGGATGAAGACAGAAGCGCGAAGATCGCATACCACTGGTTGCCTACCAGGTTCAAAACTTATATCAGCAATCACAAGGCATGGAATTTAGGATCGAAGAGGAATGATCATGTGGTTAGATAGGTTACAACTAAACATCTAAATCAGATCAGTTTACACAGACCAACCAATTTGAAGCTTAATCTTGATACTTTGAGTCGTGGATTCAGGAATAAATCGTGTATACACAATTCAATAAATAAGCAAAGAATGGATCATGAGTAAGAGGATGTAAAAAGACTTACCTCTGCAAGAGCTTCGGAAGAGGCTTCGCTGTCCATGTAATGCACATCCTTTTCATTCATCAACGCCTTCGCTAGCTTTGCCCGCACAATCCCATCCTGTGAGAGTTATACAGTCTTAGTAACAGATGCACGAATCTTGACATACCAAGACTCATAGAGCTGATTTTGAATCAAACACTACAACCGCGACCTTGAAGGTAAATCCTACATCGTTTCATGTATGGAAACTTGTACAATATGTAATACCGAGCAACACTAATTGTTTTCTGAAAACCTATGTAGCTGTGAGCAATGAGAGGTGGCAACAACTGTGTTGCTTCAAAATTATTCAATGGATGAGCATACAAGGAGCACAAGATTGAAAATAAAAGCAGGGGAACATGAATTACTTACAGCTTTGCGATGTATTCTTCCTTGAAAGTAAAGAAGAATGTGACGTTGAGAAAATGAATTAGAGTGGTCATCAACATACGATTGCACAACATGTTCATAAGGAGCCACGATGTCTTTCTGCAGGCAAGCAACATCTGTTGAAAATCTCCCAAAATCGGCAACTATCAACATTGATGAATTAAGTAGATGGCGATAGTGTCTGCATGTTCACCAATCAAAATATCAGCAAATTAAGAGTCTCATAAGAGTCAAAATTAGGTTGTCCCAGGAAACCTACCAAATCGCACTGCTCATAACGCAACTGAGTGTAACAGTGGCACATAAGGCTATACAAAAGTGGATGACATAAACAATCATGAGTGGCAGCGCAAAATAACCTGAAAGCGTTGGGGTGATGGAGGACGATGACATGATCGCGGCCTTGAGAAGCTTTCCACCACTTCGAATTCAATAAGATGTTCACTACACACTCCTACATAAATGAACAAATACGCACCACTAAAACTGAGAACGTGCCTTGGTTACGTTATACAGAATTTAACCAGCAAATGTTAATTAACAGTGGTAGAACTTGAACAAAATTTTACAATGACCTAACTCTTTCGGCTTGAGCCACGTACAAATCGAGTACTTAAACCCATCCAAACGCTCCAGTATAATCATTGCTTCAATTGATTGAAACAAGATTAAGACAAAGAGCACTGGAATATCTGCAGTTTGCCACTCTTACTGATAAAAATAGGACAGAGAGAACAAGTTTTTTATGTTCAGTCTGAAGGACTGGAACTAGTCGAAGGGTTTCTGACCAGAGGTATTGTACGCAACTACACGCTAACTCAAATACCTGTGTCCTGGTTGACCTGCGAAAATAAAATGAAATAGAAACGACCTAAAGTCTGTGCATCCATTCCAACGGATTCGAAAATCGACAAAACATCTGAACAGAATCATGTTGCAGAAACACCTTTCACTCATTCGCGCACCTGATGTGGTCATCATTTTCCGAAATCGACTAAACAAAGGTTAGGTTATACACGTACCAAAGGTCATAGGAACTCATGCATAGATGTCGGATCTTACTTGGAGGTTCTTGTCCAACTCTGCTCCAGGGCCTTCCATGCCATAACCATAGTTATTGAAGGAGAGGGATGCAAAGAACGGCACAAAGAAAACGTCAGCTTGATATGGATCCCTCACTCTAATAGCAGCCCTCCTACCATCCTTACGATCCCAACCATCTAGTAAGTACACCGTCATCCAGTACTCTACACTGTGTTGCTTATTCACCTCCCATTGCTGTGACCAAGGGGGTGCGGCATGATTTCCCCAAGGCAGATCTTCATTCTTGTTGTCCATTGTCATTAGACCGAAATTGAACTTTCGAGGAATATCGTACATGTAGACCTTGAGGGGATGAGAGCAGCTCCTCTTCAATCGGGTAATAGATCCGTCGTCCGATTTCCTAGGGAGTGACCATAAGAACCAGCTAGGTTTATTTGCATCACCCTGGGAAAATTCGCTAAATTGACCATAATAATGTGCGATCTCATCGGGAATCAACATTGCAAGCCCAACAAGTAATGCAGTGATGCATAGTACCACAATCCCGTATACAGCGAGCTTCCCGCCATATCTGACCATGTTAGCTTGCAGTCAGCAAAAACCTGCAAGTTCTTAAAGCTTTTGAATATATCCTAGATAATATCAGCACCCGCCAAAACTGATTCCAACACTTGCATGTGCCACGAGCATCTCACTGTAGTCTTGAACGATGAACGAAAAGTTGAGTTACTCTAAAAGCAACTTGTCTAAACAAAAACCTTTGTAAACTTCCTAGAATGATAAGCTGATTTCTTTCTCCTGCCATCCTATCAATCAGATCATTGCACACCTGCCATACTCGTCCTCTGCACAACAAACGAATCGCATCACATTTAAATCATACAGGTGGGTCTATTCTCTATGTAGCTTGAAACTGAAATTGGCCCCTCATGAGTCCGCACAGTAGATCCATCCCAAATCACATGAAAATTCATAAATAAATATCTCGTCAAACATGCAATCTAGCAAAGCATGTTCCTCTCTGAATAGGTATTCAATATGTGATAAGCTACCGTTTAAGATTAAAATATAATATATATATATATATATATATATATATATATATATATATATATATATATATATCAACCTTTACTGAATAGCTACGCTGCACGTAAAATATGATGCTCACATTGAAATGATTTTGAGTACCTGGATAGCAGAAATCTCATACTTGAAGTAACACATGGCAAGGGCGTGAGATGGACTTCAGGCAACAGACATTTCATCATAGTCCTCTTCACAGTCAAGAACACAAACATAAGGTTAAATTCATTTCGCAGGAAAGTGCAGGAAGGGGAAGAGACCCTGAGCAGCCTTTTAATGTAATCGGCATTCAGAGCTTCATATGAGCTTTAGGCAGCTTGCCAAGAATAAGCATTCTCATCTTTAGATTCTTGTAATGATCGTGAAAGACAATTACTGCCTAGCACTGAAGAATAGGTACTTACTTCTATTCGCTGGTCTAAAATGGGAACGGTCACAGAAACCTGTGTTCCAAGTGTGAGCTCTACAATAAACCAGGGAGATTTCAAATGCTCAACAACGCAGGCCCGACTAACTTCAACTCCAGAAGACCTCACAATTACACTGCAAACCGATGCGAAAGGAGTCGATGAACAACCATTTCCAAGAAATTTTGCAGATGTCTATCTTATTTCTAGAATTCGTTTTGCGACTTTGCCCAGGCCTGCTAATCATCGCCAGCAGCACAAGAAAAATAAATTTTCTCAACACCAACCTAAGTTTATGTCTCAGATGCGTGTGCACATGAAACTTATAATAACAGGGACAGTAAGCGTCAGCAATTAAGCTAATTATTCTAGAAATTGTCACGCTTGCAGAGCTGTGTTTAAGAAGTTGGCTCCCGTCATTCGAACGACTTCCAAAACCAAAATTCCCTCGGCAATGCAGTACAACAAGCTCTCTATGAGTCTTAAACACAGTAAACATGTCAATCGCAAACACTCGAGAATGATCACCTTCTACCAAGGTCGACTTGCTCGTCTACATCAAAGAAAGGAAACGGGCAAAAGATCCAACTCCAGAGCATCCAACTCCTGAGCACGTTAACACGACAAAGAGTCTAGTATGTATTCGCAGCTCCCGCCCGAACCTCCACTTAGAGCAAGACATGTACACAAATGCAGTACAACCTAATCTAGCAGCACCAATTTAGACACGCGAGACAATCTCGGAATCCAAATCACAATCGTTTCTCAGTCGAGCAGTCAAATCCGACCTCTGCGCGATCCCTTACCTCACAAAGGTCTTCCATCCGTCCACTGTGACGCCACCGAAAGGCTTTCAACCCCTACGGCCACTGCGCCGAGCGATGAATCGTGGAAGTGACGAAAATCGCCAAACTCGCTACAGGAGATGATTGATGCTCAGAAAGGACGATGCAATCTCGGAGCAGAGCAGAGCAGAACAGGAAAGTGGAAGTAACTTAGTCTTACACAAGTCACACACACAAGTCACACACACAAGTCACAACAGACAGGTGCTCCAGCATCCTGGAGCAGGTTTTATGTGCCCCTCCCTGTCGCCGCACAACACGGACTCGCAAAAGGCTACGGACAAGAAATGAGTGAATTGGATCGAAGTACAGAATATAAACCTCGGCTGAGCCACAAGCAGCATTGTCGTCAACATGGGCTTGTGGTCCACCTTCTCCCATACACTCACTCTCGCAAGCAACAGTACAGTTCCGAAAAATCAACTTCGCCTCCCTCAATTACTTATTTGTTTTGAAAACAATATAATACTTATCACATATCGTTTCGTCATAATTTTCTTACAAATCCTTTATTTCCAAAGCTGTGTATGTTTTGGGATTTTGAGAAGTGAACACGACATTTCAGCGATCTTAAACCATTGAGATTTTTAATTTTCGCCTGTCTTGAAAGGTATAAACAATGGTATATATATATATATAATTGAAAATACTTCTTATTCTTTATTTCAGAGTTACACAATTTTTTTAATAAAATAAATTAGTGATTTTTTATATTTAGTTATTATGTGATTACACCAATAATATTTTAGTTAATTAAAATTTTGTTTGCCTATCATAAATAATAACTGGAATTCATGAATAATATTAATAAATATATACTTAAAAAATTACTTTAAGTCTATCTTGCATGTTGAATTAGAACTTATATATGAAATAATTAATAACTTGAAAGCGTTTTTTGCAAAATCTTAATATGCATAAAGAAAATTCAATGTAATTTTTAAAACATATAGTATTTTGTACAATTTTGTTTTTAAGAAATGCCACAAAAAACAAGTATAAACATTAGTTGAGATGATGTTTGGTTTATCTTTTGATTTAGTTATCAATTAAGAATTAGAGTTGATACTCTATTGTTAAATACTTATAATTATTACACTTTACTTGACAGCATATATTTTGTTGTCTAAATTTATAAATAAATTAAAATAAAATATTTATCAAAACGATGATTATTCAATTATGATATATTCTATCAATAGATCAATTCCAAGTCCGAAATTTATTTTTAAAAAATAAAATAATCGTGTAAAATAAAATCCTAAACAAAATAATAAAAAATATATAATTATATCGAGACATAATAAAAACAAAACTACATAATTAATCTCATGTGTTATTACAAATTATTCTAAAAATGTATAGTGATTTATAATAATTATTTATTTAATAATATTAATGCATCAAAATTGGTATATATATATGTACTTTATGTTCATTAAAAAATTAGTTATTATATTTTAATATAAGATTTGATGGATTTATAATATGTTTTACACAAATATATATATATATATATATATATATATATAACTATCATATAAATTATTTGCAATTGTTTTTAGTAAATTCTTGACAATAAAACATCATTTTTGATAGACATGTTTGTACTTAATATTTAGTTGACATTAAAAGAAAAATCATTTTAAATATTTGACTTGGATGTTTGACAAGCAAGTGTTACGGTTTGTAGAAAACTTCCATATTACCTTCTTGTTTGCTATTACATATGACTGTAAAAATCAATGCCATATTTAATCTTGTTAATATATCTTTCACACTTAAATCTTTGTTATATAATCTTCACTCTTTTTGTATTAAACAATAGAAATTATAATATTGTCTATTCTTAAGAAAAAACTATTTTTATTTTTATTTTTAAAAAATATATATACAAAGATTAATTCTATCAGATTAACATAATTAACATACAATTAGACTAGCATATATTTTATTATTTTTTGTGTTTTTAATAAATAGTAAATATTTTAAAATATCAAAGTGATCTAGAAGTTAGAAATTAGCATCTTTTAAGACACACACACACACACACACATATATATATATATATATATATATATATATATAATATTTTTTAGTTTCTATTTCTTATATGAATTTGAATATTATTTTAATTTTTTTAATGTATAGAAAAATTAGCAAGAGTCTTTAAAAAATTGACAAGTTTATTGTGTTAACTTTGTTATTTACTGTATATACATATATATTTGAAGATATGTAAAAATAATAAGACATTTTTAACAGATATAAAATATCATTTAAGTATTATAGTTGAAAATCAGCATAAAAAAATAATTGCATCCATTAAAGATGCATATTTTTTTAATCTACCTAAGACCCTTATCAAATTTAGATCTAATTTTTGAAGATTTACTAACAATGTATTAGTATTTTTAATTCAACTTAGGCATTAAATTTATTTTTTTCAATTTATACTGAATTAGGATATATAAAAATACTACTTTTGAGTTTAATTTTGTTCATATTCTTACTGATTTAGAGCATTAAATTTTAACATTACGTAAATTTGATATATTTCTAGCATAGTTTTGTTTGATGCATAATAAACAAAATGCAACTTCTCAGCAATAATATTTGGTTCTTGTAACAAAAAATTTGCTTTATGTCCATTTAAGCTTTAAAATTTATCAATAAGTATTTAATATGATGATGTTACACTTATCAACTTACATATGTTTAAAAATTATAATATAATATAAAGAAATTACCACTCATTTCTTCTAAAATATAATCAGTGATTTATTTTTTGAAAATAAAAAATCTATTAAATGTAATAAATTACTCTTTTATTTTTAATTTTTTTTTAATGCATTCATAATTTTAAAATTTATTATTTCAATGAAATGACTTAAAAGTGTAAAAATATATAATTATAAATATAAGAAATATAGATTAGTATTTTATAATTTAATTATCTTGAATATAAAAAAATACTTTATATTATTAAAAAATCTTATACTTATATGAAAAAAAACTTAAACTTAGTATTCAATGTTATTAAAAAAGGTAAGAATTATCCTTATCTATATCTATAACACAACTTTGTCTAGATATAATAATTGTCAACAAGAAGAACTAAAAGAATGTAATTAAATGCACATGATGTGTCTTAAAAAGAAATGACATAGAAGGAATGAAAAAATATGTATATTCAAGAAGATATTGGAATGGCTATTGCCAAAGATAAGAAAGCTTTAGACTCTTCAAACTAGATTAGAAGCAAAAGTAAACATGATGAGAGGGAGGAAGGCCTCATTCTTGCCTATATATATTATCTAATTGAAAAACAATATAACAACATTCTATAGGTCATTTGACTCATATCCAACTTATAAGGCATATATCTAACTTGCAAGGCAAGTTTCCAACATGTGTGTCACATGACAAACTTGTACAACAAGAAGTAAATTTGAAAAACAAGTTATCAACATGTGAGACACATGGCAAAACTCATTGGCGAAGTTTTCAACCTATCAATCACGTATGAATATATGAAAAGTCAAATTTGTGTCTATGAAGCTTCTAAAAAGCTTTTCTACAAGACATTAGCAAATTTACCTACTTCTACCTAATTGTTCTTATCTAAATAAATACTAGTGTTATTATGTATGTTTGTGTCAATAAGAGCAAAGTAATTAGAAAATTATACAACATTACCTTAAAAAGGTTGTTATTAAAATTATCTTCTTATTTTATAAATCAAGTTAATAGTTACAAATTTAGGATCTGAGTCACATACTTTTTTATTAATTAATAATTTATTAAATATCACATTATATTTTTTAAACCTAATAATAAACTAATATGTCTAAATATTATAATTATTAATTATTATCTTCCAAATATATCATTTAATAAATTAGATTATTAAATTAATATAAATAATACTATGTATTATATACCAAAATTTATCATTATTAAATTATAAATTATTTTATTTTATTTAAAAAATACTATGTTTTTTAATGTATATTCTTCAAATAAATAAATTATTTTGTAACCTTAATATTTTTTATATATTTTTTGAAATAATAATATAATATTTTATCTTTTTTGAAAAAAATTACATAAATATATGTTAAATAAAGAAAATTCATTTAAATCATAAAAATTTATAAATTCGTTCGTTATTAAAAAATATTTTTCTTTTAACCAAGTAAGGCTTCTAATAACACTTTAAAGTCATATTACAACAAATTAAGTTTTATTTAAAAAAACATCTAAATACCTTAAATAAATATTGTATTTAATAATAATAAATTAATTTTTATATGGAATTCAACCTTTATGTAGACTAATTTTACAATCCACCTATTAGCATATTATCTATTAAGAAAACAATATGTTGATTCAAATCTTAAAAAAATAAGTAAAGAAATAAATAAAAATTAAGTTCTAGTAAATATGTATAAATTATTATAAAATTAATAACTATTTATAAGAATTTATTTATTTATATATTTTATATTTAGAAAAATTAAAAATTAATATAAGTTGCATTATATATTAATATACTATTGTACATAAAAAAATACAAATTACATATAATTATTTCAAAATAATTTTGGATATTTGAATATAATACCATGTATTTTGATTTTATGATATTTTCATTTGGTTTTATAGATTTTTTAAATAATTGTTTAAAAAAATTAAAAACTTATATTTTTTATTATTTAAACAATATTTATATTTATTCAAATAATAAAAAGGAATATAAATAACTTATTAGTATTTTATTTTAGAAAATAAATGATTTATGTTTACATATAAAGTTGAAAAAAATATGTATTTCAAACAAGTATAGCAAAGTTTTGAAATAGATATTTTAAAATTATGATTAAAAATAATAAAAAGTGAATAAATTAATAAATTATTCATATATTTCTTTTAAATTGAATAACTTCTAAGACTATGTAAGAAGTTAAATTATTTATAAAATTTTATAATTAATATTATATATATATTATAATAAGAAATTTTATTAAGTTTTTAATTTATTCATACAATTAATTTATAAAAGTAAATAAAATGTAGATATAGATATAAATAGCTAAAGTTTTAATCTTTAAAAAATCAAATTAATTTAATTATAAATTGATCATAAATACCAAATTAATAGAGATTTAATATATTTATCTTATTTTATCTTCTTATACAATTAGCATGTAAAAAGAAGAAAAAAAATATTACTATATCTTATTGAAATAAATAATAGTTAAGAATTTCAAATAGAAGAAGAATTAGATTTTAATATATACTAAAATAGATTGAAGTAATTTTCTCATTGATAAAAATATAAAAACCATTTAAGAATTTTATAAGCACTAATAAATAATACTCTTATATCACCAAAAAAAAAAAAAAAATGAAAAAAAAAATGAAAAAAAAGAAGAAGAAAAGACAACTAAAAGACAAATAAAGAATCGAAATTAGAATAGTTATTGTCAAATACAAAAGGACTAGAAAGATAGAATGTAAAAAACGTATTGATTAGAGTGAAGAAGGCGTCACTCTTACTTTGATATATAATATTTATAAAAGAATTATATAGCAATGTCTTATAGGCCATATGACATATGTTCAACTCAGAGGACATGTGTCTAAATTGTAGGTTAAGTTTCCAATATATGTGCCATGTGACCAACTTCTAATATAAGTAGCTAAATGTGCAATATGTGGCCAGCTTGTTGGCCAAGTTGTCAACTTACCAATTACTTACAATTATATGTAAAGTGTACAAAGCTTTTAGGAAGCTTTCCAATAAAACATCAACAATTTAATCTATTTTTACTTACTTCTTTTTAGTTCTACTTATCCAAATAAATATTCTAATAAATATAACTATCAGTCGTAATATATATATAATATCAATCTAGATCGAAGATTACTTATTGACAATAAAATAGCATAAAATAAAAATAAATGATTTTAATATTTAGCTTTCATTTTTATATACTGATATTTGTTTTGGTAATTTTGCTTTTATATGATAGAGATTTGAACAACATATTGATCGAAAGAAATATAATATAAAAAATAACATATTAAAAATAATTTGTAATACAATTAAAATTTTAAAAAATTATTCAATCTATTAAAATATTTAAGATTTCTTTTGTATTGCAAATATCAAATTATTCGAGTTTTAAACTACAAACTATTTTTATGTGCATTATTTTAGATAAAGCATATTTTTCTGTATTATTTTTTAATATTACTTTTTGATGTTACTTAATTTTTGACTCATAAATCTTATTTATTATAAGATATTTAAAAAAAAAAAATGCTAAATAGACACTTCCAATTTTAATTGCTTTAAGACCCTCTTTCTTTTGACATACATTGTAGTATATACACTTCTTAAAATTAAAAGAAATGAAAGAAATAAAAAAATTATAATTCTTGTTATACTTATTATTTTAATACCAATTTTTGATATATCCTTATCCATTATTATTATATATCTCTACATTATCTTAGCCTTCAATTCTTTTATTTAGGATTTTTTTAAATTTTATTTTAAAATATAAAACATGAAAGACCATATTTAATTGTTTTTATTATTTATCAATGTTAAATAAATTATTAAATTTATCTTATTTAAAATCAAAACCAATTATTTCTTGTGGAGATGCATGGCTTGAGGGTTGTCCATACGATAAAAGGGGAGTGTCCACCTATCAGTTCTCTTTTTCTTTTTTTATTATTTTGCTTCATATATTTATAAATGATTATTTTTTTGCATAAAATTATTTTTAAGAACAAAATAAAAACAATAGAAATAACCCTTGTTGTTGATATGTACTTCATTTCTACAAATATTTTCTATTTTAAAAGTTTTATATTACTTTTCCTATCTAAAAAAAATATATGTATAAATAGCCAGGATTATCACAGTTACAAATACATATTCCGTTATTGTACAATACGCTGAACTTAAAAATAGATTACAAAAAATAACAAATTAAGAAATACATACACTGAAGCAAAAAATTATAATAAAATTTTATATAAAAAAAATTAGATTTTTAAATAGAAAAAATAATAAAAATAGAATATAAAAAAATACTGCTTGAATTGCTTCTATGGATATATAAAAATAAATAAAAAATCATTCGTTTCTAGCATATTCTATTTAATATTCAATCTAGATTATGTCCTCGACCTTGTCAATTGTGCTTGTTGAAGCACATTTTGTGCATGAGAACACGTTTTCCTCCATGATACAATAATAAAACTAATTCACAATCAACTTGTGAAGAAAGAAAAATCTCGAGAATGGATATTTCAAATAAGCAGCAGGACTGCAATTGGGCGGGGGCTTTTCTGATTAAGCATGATAAAGTAGAAGGAAACGGGACAAGCGAAAGCGACCATAACAACGAAGCCCCCTTGATGAACTAGTTCCACGAAGGTTCCTGGGGTTCAGATTTTCCCCTGGCTGGGGTTTTTGGATTTTTATGCATCCAGCTCCCAATTCCGGATTGCTGGTTTTCCTTCGTCTTTTGTTGTGTTGCTTCATTTCTCTCCGGCTATGGACGTGAGCGGTGCAATGCAGGGAGCCTGGGGCGGAGGAGCCGCGGGGGCGCTGCTGCCCTGCCAGCGTCTGGAGAGGTCGCGTTGCGGCCGGATGGAATGCCGCTACTCTGGTGTACGCTATGGCAGGAGCGGGACATTGGAACATGATCGTTGTGGGGTCAGGAAGGCACATTTCGAATCGGTGAGTGTTTTGAATGGAATAGAGGAATCCTTTGATCATGCGGTTGTACTGAGAGTTTCTTGTCTTAACAGGATATGAGGTAGAGCGATCGGATTTGTAAACTGAGGCTGAGTGGAAATGTGATTGTGCCTCGTCTTTTGTGAAATGTCTATGGATGAGGCGTAAAGTGTTGGCGTCGTTAGCATTAACTTATATAAGGGAGAAACTATCTAGATTTTTGTTGAGATTCTTCGATCCTGTAGCTGATGGCCGGATTTTTTGAGCTGCGAAACTGAAGCCGCTTGATTGGAAATGTTGGTGATTTTGGTGAAGAGGTCAATTGAAACAGATACGGCGGAAATTTTTCGAGTGGCACTCCACCATGTTTTAGACTGGATGTGAGGGTGGAAGCACATTGACCGTTCACATGGAACCCGTTGTTCATGGATTGTTGTCATGTACTTGGGACGGATTTCAGACACTGCAGAACGTATCATGGGGACAAGACCGCAAGAAGCCTTTGATCGTGAGGGCTTCCTCAGAGAAAGTCAGTTTTCCAGTATCAGAATCGCGTGCAGCGAATTTGCGTAGGTTATTAGAACAGCCAGGGATTCGTCAAGCGCCAGCGTGTTATGATGCTTTGAGTGCGAGCCTTGTGGAGAAAGCTGGATTCGACATCACTTTTATGAGCGGTAGGACCTCTGTTCACTTGTAGATTTACTCAATCCTGGGAGCTCATAGAATATGAATTGTTTTGCTGTGCTTAAGGTGATGGCCATAGCCTCTGAATTTGTGACGTGCCACTCTTTCTAGCTTTTAACGTTATCTTATGGCCTTGTCATTGAACATCTACTGGTTGCAAGTATCATTTGTGTTTCTTACCGATTTCTCTTCATCTTCAAATAGCATTTAGATTATTGAATATTATAGCAGACTGTTAATTAAGTCGCTAATTTGGGAGCAACTTGAATTGCGACCAACTAGGTTTCTCTGTGTCAGCGGCGAGATTAGCAGCTCCAGATGCAGGTCTGATATCTTACGAGGAGATGGTGGACCAAGGTCGTATGATTAATGCAGCAGTGAAGTTTCCTGTTATTGGAGACGCAGATACAGGCTACGGGAACGCCCTTAATGTGAAACGGACAGTAAAAGGCTATATTCAGGCTGGATTTGCTGGGCTACTTCTTGAAGATCAGGTGCTACTGTACATAATCGCTTTTGTTAGTTCATTGTGGTCGCTCAATAGTTTTGCAGGCATCACTACATTGTAAGGGTGAAAAACTCATCCTCTTTGTTTTTGGGTAGAGCAAGGCTGGTTCTGGACTTTGACCTTGTGTGGTTGGGCCACAGATGTTAAAATGCGCGAACTGTGCTCGAAATTCATGTTTACTGTAAAAACTTTAAACAATCTCGGTAAGAGTGAAATTTTTTGGTAAATTGATCATCAAAAGTGGGCGAGCAGGTCTCACCTAAGGCCTGCGGTCACACAAAAGGCCGCAGCGTGGTTTCAAGAGATGAAGCAGTGATGAGGATACGTGCGGCTGTAGATGCGCGAAAAGAGGCAGGATCTGACATCGTCATCGTGGCCCGTAGTGATGCCCGCCAAGCAGTATCTTTAGAGGAAGCTCTCTGGCGAGTGCAAGCATTTGCAAACGCTGGGGCTGACGCAGTTTTTATTGATGCTTTGGCATCTCGGAGTGAGATGCAAGCTTTTTGCAAAGTTGCACCAGGAGTGCATAAAATGGTATTGTATTTTTATTGATTTAAGCATGCACACGTGTTCAAATATCAGTGAAGTTTTTGCATAATCGTTAGCATTTTCTCTAATTGATCATTAGGTAACTCTGTAACATCTCCAGACTTATCTGCAGGCCTGTAATCAGTAAGTCTAGTGTTATATTTTTCGGATTTGGCTCTAGTGCCTTATTTCCAGGTCTGCGAATCTCTTCTTATTCTTTATCTGTGAAGGTAATCTACGTGTTCGATCCAATTAAGTTTCGTTTTTTCTGTGCAGGCCAACATGTTGGAGGGAGGCGGCAAAACACCCATACTTTCACCTTTAGAGCTTGAAGATATTGGATTCAAAATCGTAGCGTACCCTCTGTCTTTAGTGGGAGTCTCCATCCGCGCAATGCAGGTACTAGCCCTTGGCAAACAAATTTTTGATACAGCCAAGTACTAAAAAAATTCAGCATTTTCGTTGTATATATCTGCTAAGGAACAAACTTATTACTTCTCATAGGTGTTGTCCGTCTCAAGCTGTTGGTGATTTGCGTGAGAAATTCACATGCAAACATTTCTGTTACATGATAGTAAGCATCACTTATGTGTGCTGTTCTGGCAGGATGCACTAGCAGCATTGAAGAGTGGGCGTCTTCCGCCTCCTAGTTTACTTCCCTCTTTTGAAACAGTCAAAGATATTGTAGGATTTCCAAAATATTATGAAGAGGAGGCTCGGTACTCTACTGGATCTTCGACCAAGAATTCATCTTATAGTCGCATGCCAGGTTAGCCAACTTTGTTATTTACGTATCTGTCTTTACTGAAAAGTTTCTGCCACTTGTTCGAACAAAATTCTGAAGTCAAGGGTTATTGCTGTGTCTATGAACAAATCTCCCACGGCATGTAGTGAGGTCTGAAATATGGACGTGTAGGCTCCACGAGACCGCCAGTAGTTCAATATGCTTCATGTCGCGGGTTCTCACATTGCCCAGCTTAGTTTTGGCTGTTGTCACTATGGAAACATGAAAACTAACTTCATGTGACTCTTTTTCATATTTTCCAGCAAACGCGTCAGTGACATCTAGTAATGAGCAATCTACTGCTGTTGTTCCGGACTTGGTGATACCAGACGGAGAAAGTAGCAAAGATCCTAGTTCCAGAGTGGCAGAAGTTGTTGAAAGCTTTAGTCCAAGAAGTATGCGCAGTACCATTGCAGGAATGTGGTCACGTACTCTCCGTATTAAAGTTACTGGCAAAGATGGCACTGTGAAACTTAACGTCTCAATCCCGGTGAGTCGTTGAACCCTGCGATTTGATACAAATTCTCTTACTTTGTGATGCAGTACTTCGTGTCGTTCCATACAATTATGCGGACTGTATGAAGAGATTTCTTCTTTGATTGTTCCAAAATGTACGTTGTTAAAGAAACATTTCGATTACTTCCCATGCGTTGTCATCACATTCCAACACTCATTAATTGATATGCTTTTATATTTACCACTCACTAATAATTCAAAATGGGAATTGAAGTCACAATTATTTGTTTCAGACCAATCTGGAGAAGATTTTTTATTTTCTACCTTATTAATGAAGTTTCCATTATATGAACTATCTACAGGCTGGATTTTTGGAAGGTTTTTCAAGCGCTATTCCAGGTAAATATTCTTGCTTCTTGCAGAAAATGCAAATATCTGAACATCAAGTTCGATAGAGATTTGTCAATTTTTGTTTCATGTTTAACATTTTGTGCTATTTGAAGAGCTTTTCTGGCATGAAATATTTTGAGGTGGTTGGGAGCCGGGATAGAGACGGCTCGTTGTTTACGTTGAGTATACTTCTAGCACGAACTAGGTGGCTGGATTCTAGTATAGTGATAATGTGTTGATGAAGTTTTTTTTTCCCTGTGAAGCTGTTGCAGGCTTGGATCTTCAGCTTATCCTGGAAAAAGCTCAAATCAACTTGGGGAGTAAATTAGAAGGTGAATCTGTTCTAGCTGATTTCAATGACCCTGCTGGGGATCGCATTCAAGTCATTTTGGAATAATTTAACGCACTGTCGCTACAGACTTGTGCCAATCATAAACTTGTAATCATGTCACATTTCATCAAAATGTCTCTGAAACATGCTTGAATTATATTGTGGCTGTATGACACAGCAATATGTCATAAGATAACCTTATAGCTTGCCCTGTATATCATGATGTTTTGAAAAGTACAATTCATAAATCACAGATATTAACGAATTAGGACTTGCTCGTTTAGTTAACTTGTGCTTTTAGTCATAATGTGCATATAGAGTGTCTTTGCGAATTACGCGATATGCATTTAGATAAAGTTGTTAATCCTTGTCATGTCCGGTAATAACCTCCTGGTGGTCTACTAGATCCTATTACTTTCGGTTTTATTATAACCACAACGAAGGTTTCTGACCAATATTTCCAGAACATTATACCTGAAGAATGTGGATGTACTCCTTGCACATTAGCAATTTAATCTCCAGTAGTTGGATGACATGGACAGCCGACATGCCAAAAGATTCTGAACATAACGACAAGGATGAATCTGCTATCTTTGAAGGTGAAAAATCTGTCAAAGCGGTATTGATAAAATTATAAATTTACGGATTAATATTAACTTTTATCCATACCATTGTTGGACTATTAGATTGGATTTAAGGTATCAGTGGGTGACTATTGTTTAAATTGGTTTATAAATGATTACCATCAACCTATTTCAAAATTTTGAATTATCCAAATCCTAAGACAATCAATAACAATTTATTTTGTCTTTTGGAAAAGATGAATAAGATAATTGTAAATTTAATTATTAATCAAACATCATCTATGTTCAACTTAGTGGAATTAAGAATCTTAAGCCATATCTAAGGATGCAATAGAATATATAACTACTTAGTGATGCACCAAGTTATTATATAACTTCTTTAATATATGAAGATATTATAGAAACATCTCACAACTTGGACACTTGTTAAACTAATAATGTAGTTTATCCAAATTCGTTGTATAGTTTTTTGTTTGCTAATATATTTAGAGCCAAGAATAGGGACATCATTAAATTTATCAATACATATTTTGCTTCAAACATGGTTCACATTTCTTAATTTTATTTTACCTAACAAAAATAGTATTTTGAACAATATTTTAAGTCTAATAAATGACTGCAATTTTTGAATTTTTTACAAATGTATGAAATACTTAATAAGATTTTAGTTTTAGAATTTTTTAGTTTTTTTAGTTTTTAAATATTTTTAATACTTTAATTTACATTTTATTCATTATAAAAATATAATTCAGAAATAAAATCTTCTTTAAAATGTGTTTAGATATGTTTTTGTATTTAACAAAAAATAAAAAATAATAGTTTTTAATGTTTGACTTTAAAAGTTATTAATTTAAAGAAAATAAAATAGCTAATTTTCTACAAGTTTTATATACAATTACATGCATATATATGTATATATATATATATATATATATATATAATTTAGAATGCTTTTTTATTTATACTAAAATCACATGATTAGAAATTTTAAACTTAAACAATTATTATTAATGTATTCAAATTTAAATATAACAGAAAAGTTTATTATTCATCAAAATATTATTATTTAATATTTATAACCATTTTAAATTTTATATATTTTAAAATATAAAAAATTAAAACTAAAAATAAATATTTTTTTTCTTGGAAGCCAATCAAATATTATGCCAAGAAATTGGCCATCTTACAAATATTTAATTTAAACACAAAATAAACTTCTGAGTATGAAATGGAATTTTATATTGTGTCTTTTTAACATTTGTATAACAAACAAGCCTAGCCACTTAGTGAGTGGCACATGTCCCTCCATAGACTATGCCATTTTAATAAATGTTGCCTTCAAAATCAAATTTTTAATGAAGGCAACATTTATTAAAATGGCATAGTCTATGATTTCATAAATTTGATTATGAACAAATCAACTATATTTAAAAATATTTAAAAATATTTAAAAATGAAAATTAAACCAGCCGATCATAAAAATTATACCAATACAAAAAAGTAGCCAAATGACAACTGTGAGCATACATCAAAAGTTTTACCAACAAATGGACCTTTTCATCTCCATCTGCGAAGTTGACACAATTTGTACTGTGACAATGTAATTTAAACTTTAGAGGATACATCCTTTATGATATCTCACAATGGTGCCTCCTTTGAGGCTATTATTCTATGATATAATATCTGCTATCACCAAAGTAAGCAAATTGGCCACACATATGTAGCTATCTACTTGACACATGACTTGCAATATCGAAATTTTAAGGACTCATGATTTAATTGAATTGCTCTCACTAGCAAGTATGCAATGTCTATAGGGTATGAATTTGCTTCAAATGAAATCTAATATATTTTGTGATGGATTCTTAGATCCAGATTATATGTTATTGTGAATTACAGTTAAAAATCTCACATCTAAGAAATGTTATTTGGTTACATTTGAATTCACCTCAAATAGCAGCACTCTGCAAGAATTTTATAATTATTTGGGATTTATATCATATAAACATCATAAAAATTAGCACTCAAAGGAGTAAGACTCTACTCTAATTGAAAATCTCGACACAATAATTGATGATAAAATAAGCTTAAGCTTTGAAGGCAACATTTATTTATGGCTAGCAAGCAACAAAGGCGAAAAAGAGAGCATGATGGAGTTGGAACAAGGAGGCGTCTTGCAAATAAAAGGCAGCAAAGTTTTGAAAAAGTATAAAAAGGCAACAAGCACTAAATTTCATAGACAACAAGCATTTCAACATGCAAGAGGGACGGCCCTTGCTTAGGTTGAATTTCTTCTAATGATGGTTCAACCTTAGTTGGTCTAATATTTATATCAACTATCCCAAAATTTAAAAACTACATACTTTTACTTTTAATTCTATTTTATTTCATATATTTAATATATCAATTATTTTAAAGATTGAATATTTTTATAAAAATTAGTTTACTTTTATTCTATTTTAAATAATACATATATTATAAATAAAATATTATTAAATATATATTTTTTGAATATAGAATATATATATATTTATAGAAAAATATATAAATTTATAACATATTTAAATAGAAATTATGAATAATTAAATTAATATAATAAAATAAGTTAAAATTTGATTATTTGATAATTTTATGCTTTAAGTATAATTAATTAGTATATTATCAACAACAATAATTCAACATTTGTTAGTTTGTATTATATATATATATATATAGGTAATATAAAGAATGCATATTCTTGAATTTTTTTGGATATTTATCATTTACCAATGATTAAATGATCAAACTAAAGCAACATATTGTAATGTATAAATAAAATCTTATGATGATTTTTAAAAGTAATTATAATTGTTATATATTTTAATATTAAAGGAACTACTAACAACCATTAATATCTATCATTTACAATAGCATAACATAAATATGTAAAAACTTATATATCTTATTTTAAAACTTATAGCATATAGGTAATTGAAGATAAGTAGCAAAAATAAGAATAAAAAATTATATAATTACAAGTATCATTATAAGAAAAATAGATAAATATAATTTATTATGCAAGGAATTAGATGAGAAGCAAATTTTTATTAAATAACTTTTTAATAAATAAAATAAAACTAAGATTACAAAATAAGTAAAATAATTCAATTTTTAAAATACTTTAAGAACCTCAATCAAATTTAATATTTGAAATACTACAATCTATTACTTGATTAATTTTCTAGAGCAAGCTATGAAAATAAAGGATAAGAACTACAATCTTATTAACCAAGTAAAAGAAATAATTTAATAAAAAGACAAAAACAAGGCTTCATTACATTCAAATACATTGATAATAATATTAACATATATCTATACTTATGTCACGGACATACTCATGGAAGCTAGTAATTACATATACAAATAGGTGGAAGTAAGTAAAAGTAAGTAAAAATAAGTTGATTCTATAATATTTAATATGAAAGCTTCCTAGAAGCTTCATAGATGCTGCTTTGACTTCATAGGTGTCTTTAATTGACTTTTTGGATTAAAAACGTGGTCGACAAGTTGGCCATGTGCCACACATGTTGTTAGCTTGAAGATCAAACTAACTATGTGGCCTACACATAGAAAAACTTGCCTTGTAAGTCAAGGCATATGTCCTACAAAGTCAACACATATTGGAGGTCCTATAGAACGTCACCACGTAGTTCCTAGTTAGATAGTATATAAAGAGACAAGAGTGAAGCCTTCTTCACTCTTGTCAATTTCTTTCTTACTTCTAGTCTAGTTTCAAGGGTCTCTAGTTTTCTTGGCTTTTGGCAATAGCCATTCTAGTTTCTTTCTTAATATATATATCAAGTTATTTCTATTTTTTCACCTTTCTATGAGAGAAGTTTTACTTGTTTACTTGTCTTTTATCATGTTCTTGTCTTTGACAGATTGACAAGAGTACACCTACAATATCAAAGCTTTGTCTAAAATTGATTAAGAGTGGATTACTCCTTTTTCTTGATAAGATATAAGCATATTAGAAGTTGCGGATTACCCTCTTCTAAACTGATATTGTCCTTAGTATTTTCTTTATTCTCAAGTCCTCTCTTCTATTTGTCTTGAGCAATATTAGACATCTTCTCTTTTTTAAGTGTTATCATGGCAGAACTTGTTGAAATGAAGAGTGCAATGGCACAAATGCAAGAGCAATTGAGGAAATTAATGCTTTCAATGCATCAACTCAATTTACCACCACAAGGAGCAATAAGATTGGCAGGAAGTGAAGATATAGAAATAGTTGGAGCTGCTTCAACATCTGCATCAAACCATGTCTTTTTTCCTATAGTGGAATGTCCTTCCTATAGTGGAATGTCCTTCAAATGTTAGAGAACCAAGAATTGTCCTACCCAAGAAGTTTGATGGCACCAGATCCAAGTTTCGAGGATTTATCAATCAAGTGTAACTTGTGATTGAACTTCAATTCCAAAGCTATCTAACTCCAAGATCGCAAGTTAGATTCATTGGTACGCTTCTTTCAGGTTCAACACTATCGTGGTTTTCATCTTTTCTTGAACGATAAGATCCAATATTGGATAATCTA